TTGCCATAAAAATGTCGTTTTTGTTTGATTTTTGCATGGATGTCCTCTTAACTATCGCTGGTGACCAATTCCGCATTTTTCTGGCATCTATTTTGTTTGCATATGCGAGCACATCTGTATGACTGGTTACAATGAGTTGTTCTTAGGAAAAAGTATTAAAATAGCTATAAATTTTTACACAAAAGCATTATCAAGAAATTGCGTGGTAATTGACTACTCCTTTTGTCAGGCTGCAAGAGTTGTTAGTGAAAAAACATCCTTTTCGTGTTGCACCACGCATATTTGTAAGGGACTAAGAGAGATCCTATCACATCCTTGAAGCATTAAAATTGTTAAGATTGAGGTGACAGGATTCAAATCCTATATCCCCACTCGCACATGTTCCGAAACACAGTTTCAAATGTTAATAGAAATCCCATTTAGATTATCATAAATCCCACTCTTTGAAAAAGAAAATGGTGGTATGGATGCAAATTGCGTTACAGTCTGGGAGCAAATGTCATAAAATAAGGTCCCGTGTGAAGTTCGTGCTGAAAGCAAGCACCTAGTGTAAGAGTGTTCATTAGGTCCTACTAAACATGAAAAGTTTTGGTGCCAGCTTTGCCACTTGCTCAGACGGCTTTTAAGGGGGGGGGGGTTAAATTCTGACCCATGAAATCCAGCGTGAAAACGAGGCTAAAACACATAATTCCTCATAACTTTGTTAATAACAGACGAAAATACACCAGACTTGCTCACATGATTGGGCATGATCCTCCCTGTTGGTTTATGTTAATTTACATAGGTCACGTGACCTTACGCATGAAAGCGAGGCTGAAACACATAATTTACTATAAATTTGTCAAAAAAAATCCTTATCATGCCAAGCTTGCTCATCTTAGTCAGTTAGACATCTTGCATTGATTGGTGCCACTTTGTAGTGTCAGGTGACCCCATACATGGAAATGAGGCTGGATTGCAAAACATGCAAAAGGTGAACACATCATCCAGGACAATAACGTTGACTCATTGTAATGCATATTAATGCTGTATGTATAGCATTTGAATGAAAAAAAATAAAAGCTAAAAAGGTGTAATGATAATGTATTTCGTGTGGCTTATATAACTATTATGAGCGATTTCTACAATCCTATTTCGCAATGGGAGACAAGTCGTTGTGGCATGGGGAACGGAATGTGAGGCAACACACAGAGACGTCAGGCATTTACGAAGTACGCAAGAAGAAGCCGACACGAAGATTATTTACATGCTCTGGATGCCTCTGCTCAAGGTGCTTCCCAACTATCTATATGTTCTCCTGACACTGATGTTCTTGTTTTGGCTCTCCGACGGTATCCAGATTTGCGCTCCAACCCTTGCTTTGTTACTGGGACCGGCAGTAGTCGTAGAGTTATCAACTTGAAGTCAATCGCAGACGCCCTTGGGCCCACTAAGACGGCTGCGCTGCCAGCATTTCATGCGTTGACCGGAGCAGATGTTACTGGGAGTTTCTCTGGAAAGGGAAAAGCCATTTGTTGGGATGAGTTTGATAACACCAGCACGCCTATCTTGCAAGCTCTTGCTAACCTCGGTTGTGGGGAACAGCCAGATGACGGCACAAGAAGTGTAGTGGAACAGCTGGTTTGTCGGATGTACCAACCAAAGACAGACATCAAAACTGTCAAAGCCCTCAGATGGTCCCACTTTAAGAAAAATCAAGCTGAGTCTGAGAGGTTGCCGCCCACACAAGCTGCTCTCCATCAAGCCATACTGAGAGCGCACTACCAGCTTCTTGTTTGGAACAACGATCATGTAGCAAACCCGGTGTTACCCTCACCAGAAGGCTATGGATGGCAAGATGAAGATGGAAAGTGGGTACCAGTCATGAAAAATCTTCCACCAGCTCCAGAGGCAATTATACAGCTTGTCCGATGCAAGTGCGCCAAGTCCCGTTGCTCTAACAACCGTTGTCAGTGTCAAAAAGCCGGACTTGTCTGTACTGATCTCTGTCTGAGCTCTGAAGATTGCCAGAACGAGTATGCTGAGAGTGATGATGAGTATGATGAAGACGAAGTCGAACAGGAAATTCCATAGGAATGGACAACAGAACAATGTATATAGATATTCAGTAAGACTTTCATGACTGTATATATAAAACGGCAGTAGTCGCTATTTTCATTTTCTGCCCTTGTTCCAATATACATGCGAAAATGAATACATGGAACCAGTATCATAAGTTGGCAAAATTATTGATTATGTGTACAAGATAGATTCTCAAATGGAGCCTCCGCAGTATTTGCTTTATCCGTCTTGTCCCTGTGCTATGGGCCATAGGACAATGATTAGTTGAAGTTTTTATATCTGAAATCGGATAACCAGATATGTAGCTTCCTAGTAGTTGTTAATACATTTGGCAAGACAAATGCCATCCTACACGATGCTACCAGATATATCCAGCCTCGTTTCCATGTATGGGGTCGCGTGACACTACAAAGTGGCACCAATCGATGCAAGATGTCTAACTGACTAAGGTGAGCAAGTTTGGCATGATAAGGATTTTTTTGACAAATTTATAGTAAATTGTGTGTTTCAGCCTCGCTTTCATGCGTAAGGTCACGTGACCTATGTTAATTAACATAAACCAACAGGGAGGATCATGCCCAATCATGTGAGCAAGTCTGGTGTATTTTCGTCTGTTATTAACAAAGTTATGAGGAATTATGTGTTTTAGCCTCGTTTCCATGCTAGATTTAATGGATCAGGATTTAACCCCCCCTAAAAGCCGTCTGAGCAAGTTGCAAAGCTGGCACCAAAACTTTTCATGTTTAGTAGGTCCTAATGAACACTTTTACACCAGGTGCTTGCTTTCAGCACGAACTTCACACGGGACCACATTTGCTCCCAGACTATTACGTTAATCTAATTTACTGCGACCATATCTTCACCCAATCCGAAGTAATACATCAATCCCAAAACATTTTTTAAAAGTTTACCTTTATTATCAACTCACAGTTTTATAATTAACCAGAAATCCGATTTCAATCGTTACACGAAGGCGCGCCATAAAAGGAGAGGTGCCTTAGGTACCTCTGAATCATTTGTCAATCAACCGTCGTGGCATAAAGAACTCCAAAACAGCTTGAGCTGCAGCCAATGCAAGGCACTGACCAGTGGCACATTTCTCGGTAAATTTCTACGCTTTCATCACAATGGAAGAATTTTTTGAGGTTTGTATTACCTTCCTCCGACCGAAACCTTCTTCATTTGTGGCGGTAAATTTGAAATTCGAAATGATTCGCTTCGCCATCGCCTAAAATTGCCATGGTGTAATTTCATGTCTGTTCTTAAAATACTGGATGTAGATGACCGTTAGAATAAAAAGAAAAGATGAAGAAATGTTCAAGGCATTTCTTCAATAATGCGAAGGGGAAGTGCTGTTAACCCAACGGAAGAAAAATGAAAGCAGAGCGACCATTGCAGGCGAAGTTCTGGAGCGCGCGAGTGAACCGCCGCCAACCACCGATTCACTTGGACATGTCCAGGCATCGTTGTCGCCAAATGAATCATCTGTACGGGCTTCCTCCACAAATGGTGCGATTTCTTTTTCTTTTTTTTAAATCTAAGTATAATATGATTACAACAATACTGAATGATCTTTAATACATTAGAAAGGTAACTTAGGACTACAGTTCGATACCAACAATCACTGACGGTGATAATGTATCGCCAAGATTGAAACACTCGCGTAACGCAATAATTTTCCAGAAGTAACTAATTGCAGATTTTTTTCGAACTAGGAAATACTAGTTAGAACATACTTTCAAACCACATATTTTTTTGTATGATGCGACAGTTCATGTCTAACACTGCTTCCTTTTGATGCCTTCATTTTCCCAAATGCAGCCTTGCGTGACACCTACGAAATGTTTTGTCCTGCCTAAGAATGTTTTGTCCCGTCTAAGAATGTTTTGTCCTGCCTAAGAATGTTTTGTCCTGTCTAAGAATGTTTTGTCCTGCATAAGAATGTTTTGTCCTGCCTAAGAATGTTTTGTCCTGCCTAAGAATGTTTTGTCCTGCCTAAGAATGTTTTGTCCCGTCTAAGAATGTTTTGTCCTGCCTAAGAATGTTTTGTCCTGCCTAAGAATGTCTTGAAAGGAGTTATTTCTTTAGAACTACAAGTTATATTTATTGCGATATTTTATGCTACACCATGGGCATACGTGTCAATTAAACATGAACGTGCGACGTAGAAAAGATTAGAAGACGTAGTGGAGAGCATTGAACAAATGTGGGCTCTGGAAAGACCCTCTTTACCAGGCTAGAAAAGTCGAACTAGGGGACCACGCTAATGCAGTGCGGGAAAGGATGCCCAATTGTGTTATAAAAGATGTGAGGTCAAGATTTCCTAACCCTCCTGGTATTGCCTATATGGGGCATAAAAGGGAATAATAAAATTCTCATACAAATGCCCACCTCAAAGAGAGCCCAAGTACTCAATATTTTTTATGGTCCATTTTACAATGTCCACACAGCAAATTATAGTGACTTTCCTATAGGTTAGGAAAAGATATACAGTGCAAAGAAAAGTAACAGGAGGAAACAGAGAATGAGTCGGCTTGGAAATACCTTGTGTCAAACCTAATATTCATGTTTTCATTGCTTGGTACCAGCAGTTGTTAGAATTGGTCCTCTCTAATGACCTCACATATTAATACTGAACATTTGGGCTCCTAGTTGTAATTATCTCAGACTGTGGTGCAATGGAAAACAAAAGAGACATCATTTGTTTATATTAAAAAAGGTAGACCAGATAGTTTCTCTGAAATTAAATGTCTTTGAAGTAAGCACCCTGGTCTCTGCCAGGCGGTTTGGATGCCTGGTATGTTGGTGCATCTGTAGAGACGATGCTTCTCAATTCACATTTTCATTCTGTAAGACAAATGAGTCAATGAACAAGAGAAGGCAGTGAATCCAAAAAGTGCCAAAGTAATTGTGCAGAATTAACAACATAAGCATGCAGCTACTACTTCAGGTTTAGTTAAAAGATTTTTGCTCATCACATAGCCATTCTGCTTGCACCGTGACTCTGCATGGCATCTGACATGATTTCCCTGAGTAATAAATACACCAAGTTATAGAAAAATAGATTAATAAATCAGTACTAATAATGATAGTAAGTATAATGTCTCTTGTTCACCATTATTAAAGAAATATGTGCAATCTTTGAGGTAATGATCATGTCTATCTTACTAGAATAACACAACAAAAGGTACTTACAGAAATGAAAACAAAACACTATGTTCTCAAGAAACAGTCACTCAAATTACCTGGTAATGGTCAACTACATTCAACAGTGTACCCTGAAATTCTTCTTCATTGGGTGGACTGTTCTTCATGCAGAAGTACACAAGAGTCCTTGTACTTTTCGCTGTAAAATATTCACAATTATTATATTCCATTGTATTCATCTTATATCAAGAAGGAATTTGACATCTGCAGATAATTGTGGAGAGAATATAGCTTTTGATGACTCTCATAAGAGAGATATCTTACCTTTGTCGAACAATTCAAAAAACTACTTTGAGCCCTCATCCCTCTGGGCCCCTGAGGCAACTTCCTTCATTACTTTAGTCACAGACTTTGCACCTGAAAATAAAAATAAAAAAATATATTAATACCAATAAAATACTAACTTTCAAGAAATAGTCATAATC